CATTCCTATTACTGACCTTTTCAAAAGTTTATACAGAAGTTTAAATATCTACTTTGCTAGATTTCCTAATAGTATAAGAGAGACCAAGACCCACACCAAAAAAAGGAAACTTAACTCTAAGGGATTCCAAGCAGCACACTGAAATATCTGACATATAAAAACATAAAGATAAAAAACAAACAAAAAAAACAACTTGACGATTTTTTTTTGACTGACTACAAGTTTTTTTTTCCAGGCTTCTTACTTAGTGTTTTGTATTTACAAGATATCTGATGACATTTAACACTAACAGAATGAAATGGACATTGGGAACCAGCAGTTAGCGGAATGGCTATGTCGCTGGACTCCCACGTAGTCGACCGCGGTTCGTGTCCCGGACCCGGTGGCTTAAAACTCACGCCGGGCGCATGTGCGTGCGTGCCCAAGATCCCGAGAGGAGAATGGAGGAGAAGGGATTGCGGCGTGACCATCCCCCCTGGGGGGTGATTTCTCGCTTTCTGTCTCTATGTCTCTCTCTGTCTGTCTGGCGAGCGCACGCGCCCTACAGTGAAAATCTCTCCAAAAAAAAAAAAAAAAAAAAAAAAGAATGAAATGGACATTGATTTCAAATCCTTTTGGATTTTTATTGAAGAGTTTCTTTAAATCAGAACTAATTTTTCAGTTTTCAGGTCTATGCTCAGTTAGTTATAAAATCTCACTGTAGTCTATCATAAAATAACACAAGTTACATAAGTAATAATAAAAGCACCTACCATCTGTGCCAAGCAATATACTGAAATTGGTTTAATTACAATCTCCATGAGGTGAGGTGGGTATAGCTATGATTTTTGGTTTTATAGAAGATGAAATTGAGGCTCAAAGAGACCAAATAATGTGACCTAGGAAGCATAGCTAGAAAGTGACAGATCAAGGTTTAAAGTCCTGATCTGTCTGCTTCCCAAACACAGGCTCTTTCCACATAAAACCCTGCCTCCCACAACACCAGAAAGAAAAACAAAATATAAAGTTCAAAACGGTAAAAACTCTATAAATGGAGAAGCATGACTTGAATAGATAAATAAATAAGTAATTCAACTCAAAACCACTTTCCCTTCAATTATTTGTAGAAACAAAGGTCTTTTTTTCCCCTTAAACCAGCATAATTTCTTCCTTCCTCAAGTTATTTGACAGATTTAAACAGTCTACAGTTTATAGGGAGGCTGACTGCAAGGATCTGGTTTGATTCTGAACTACTTGTTTTTTTAAAGCAATAGAGACATCTTTTGGCCAGTAAATGAAACTGCAAGGTTACAGAAATATGTTAATATATAGTACATTGCACAGATAAGTCATCTATCTTTTCAGTGATTCCTTGCCCCCCCTTTTGTTCTTTTTTTTTGAGAGATTTTTGCTACAGGGCGCATGCACTTGCCAGACAGAGACAGAGAGACAGAAAGCGAGAAATCACCCCCCAGAGGGATGGCCACACTGCAAACCCTTCTCCTCCATTCTCCTCTCGGAATCTTGGGCAAGCATGCACATGTGCCCGGCGTGAGTTTTAAGCCACCAGGTCCGGAACGCAAACCACGGTCAACTACATGGGAGTCCAGCGACATAGCCATTACACTAACTGCTGGTCCCCACCCCCTTTTGTTCTTAAAATTAAAAAAATGAATGAATAAAAGTCAGTGACTTGCTATGTTTCCTCAAACTCGTGATTTTTCTACCTTAGCCTCCAAGTAGCTGGGATTACAGGCACACAGCACCACCTCTAATTTCCTTGGTCCTTTGAGGTTCTAAAGTCAACATGGACTTATCCCACTGGCCACAACAGGAAATGTCACCATAAAGAAAGGCAGAAGCAGAAACTGAACCTATTACCTGAAATGCAGTTCAATCTGAATGGATCCTTGGGTAGTACTGCTATTCTTGGAAGGCTGAAAGATACAGTTGAATACATTTGTCGTGCCAGGGCTGGTCTTCTGCCCGGCATAGCGGGTGTCAAAAGCCATCATGGAATGAGAAACCAAATTAATGGACTTGGTTTGGTTGGAAAAACTCTCATAAAGCAGTTTACATTTCTTGAAGTCAAACCTAATAAGAAGAAAGCAGACCAGATGTTAAACATAATTCTTCAATTTACAAACTCCTGTAACTTCAAGATAATAAGAGCAAATCGCAAAAATATCTCAGCTCTATGAAAGAGAATAACTTTTATTTTGAGAGTTTTTTTCATTGATTTTGTTAACAAACCCCTCAAATGGTTAGCGACACTGTGTTTATATCTTCCCATTTTAACTCGAAAGAGATGATCTTGTTCATAGGAACTTCATGGGAATAACAATACATATTTATTACATCCTTATAATAATTCATTATCATTTCTATTTTCCAATATATGTCCAAGAGGCTCGTAAATACTTGTAAAGATCCTCCAAGGGATTTCAAGGGTCTCCTTAGACCTTCTGCCAACTTCTGGTTCTCCTAAGTTTTTTTTCTAGAGTGTGCCCAAACTACTAACTAGGACAAATTATACTCTTCACATAGAAAAATAATTCAACTGATCCACCAAGGAGAAAAGCATTTGGAATCACCTTTTTTAATAACAAAGAAAGCTGCCATTAGTCAGTACCATTTTGACAATATGTACAGAATTCCATATTGAGAAAAAACTAAGGGCAGGGCCGACCAATAGCATGGTGGTTAAGGCACTAGATCTCACATTGCCAACTGGACAGGTGGAGTCTTACACCCAGTGGCTTGAAAAACATAGTGGGCATGTGTGTGTGCATGCCCAAAGTCCCTAGAGAAGAATGGAGAAGAGAATGCGGGATGGTCATTCCCCTGGGGGTTGCTTTCTTACTTTCCCTTCTGTCTTTCTCTGTCTCTCCAGCAAGTACACACATCCTATAGTAAATTAAAAAACTAAGAGCACAGCCTGTCATCAGAAAAAAATGCTGGCTCACATGAACATCCATCTGGACCCCAGTTTCACCATACCACACTCTCATTAGCTAGGTGAGGTACGGAGCATGGCAGACTTTCCAGGGAAAGATAAACTAGAAGAGAGAGTACCTGAGCAGGGAAATTACTAGCCTTGAAGACCTGTTTTCAAATATCAAACCACTTTCCAGCCCTATCACCTTATGCTAGTCAGAAACTCTATCTGGAAAATAGAAGTATTATCTGCTTAACCTTACAGGATTGTTACATCAAAATAAAAAGTTTATTGCATGTGAAAATATAATGCACTCTTTAAAGTTCTAAACCAGTCATCACAAATTCATATGTCTACTATGACCAAGCTAAGTAAACTCGTAATACAGCTAAAGGAAGCAGTTGCTTCCAGTAATTTCCAAGTGACAACATGGGCCTAGAGCTGCAAAAGCTTCAAATTTTCCAAATGAAGATATAATCCAAACTCTTTTTTCTTGCAGGTTGCATTTTGTTTTAATTCATGACAGAGTACATGAATTAAATGTACATAAAAGGGAGCAAGAGAGAGAGAGAAAGCACCCTAAACAGAGTCTCATCACACCATGACCCTCTTTCTCCAGCCCTCCAGCTCATCAGGATCTTGGGCACTCACACACACACCAGCATGGTTCAGGTGGACCAGGCTAGGGATCCAAACCAGTGGTCAGTCACATGGCTTCCAGTACTGTAACCTGGAATGCCATTAATGGTGCCACCTAGGCTGGGCCATAAAATTCAAACCTTTTAAGTGAAATTCCCCAAGTTTTCAAATGGTGGTCAGTGAGGTAGTTTTCAGTGCTGCTTATCAACCAGTTCCAGTTCCCTTCCCAGAGCTATTCAGATACACAGTAAGACGGTAGTGAGTCCTTCACATAGAGGGACCATGTTCTAGCTCCATGAGGCTCCCAGAACTTTGAATTGCCACTCAAGTTCATTTCACGGTTTGTGTTTTTCTCTCTGGTACATCAAAACACTGGCTGCTCTGTCACCCTAAAGGGTTATAATGAGCAGAGCACCCGGAGACCCACAGTGGTCATGGTATTTGGAGGTTATCAGTTACTACATCACCTAATCTATTGTGCCTACATGAGCAACAAATACAAGTTCCAGTGGCCACCACTCTGCAACTTCTGCTCTATGCTAATGCAAACTAGGTGTGTTATTTATTTGACTATTTTTATTAGTTGTGAAATAATATATTTACAGCCATACCTGGCTAGGGACCCAGCACCTTCTTTTCCTTTTGGATCCTTAAGCTCCAGACTTACATTTACCATATCAATGAGGAAGCACATGCAAGTGTATACTTCTCCGCTCAGAACCGTCTACAAAAGAAATACTCATTAATCCACAGTTGATATCAACCTAAAAAGCAGTTAATATGTCAAGAAATGATATGCCTGCTGTTCCATCTTCTTTCTCCAGGTGAATTTCAGGAATATATACACAGGGTAACCATCAGCTGAGACTATAAGAGTTACAGAAGAATGTAAGGTCTCACTCACATGAATTCTTGGATCCTGTAAATCGTAGGGCCGCATAAATTCTTCTATGGGCTCTCCTAGGTTGTTCTCTAATAAGCCACGGATCAGCTTGTATTTATACAAATCCAGGGAACAGTGGACTGAGGAGAGATTGCCATGGATAGATATGTCTTTCACAGTATGGCTTATTTCTCTACCAAAAAAAAAAAAAAAAGTCACTTTCTTAAATAAATCACTAGCTTAACATTGACATAGATAACTCACACCAAAATATAGAAACTAAGATGAACCCACCTATATTGTCAACCAGTTAATTACTAACTTACAGTGACAAACATTTCATGTAGCTCCAAGTGAAAAAAGTTGGTGTGACTACCATGTTTAACTACGAAAAGCCCCTTTCTTCCAAAATACACATTTAGGATGTCTTCAAATCTATTGCGAGCTAACTAATCTATCGATAACAGGAAAATCTCATGAGACTACAAAATAACTTAAATATTCCTATTGAGAAAGCAATAAAGAAAAGATGCCAAGCTCTTTATTAAAAACAGTATTTCACACTGGTCCCACATGGGACATCAGGATAAAACCTGAAGAAGCTACTCGTCCCAGCTGGGATGTGTAGAAGTAAAGAAGATAATGAGGGTAAGGGGACAAATTTCTCATCGCTACAATAAAGAGCCTTCTCTTTCCATCCAAAGTTGAAGAGCTGTGATACTGTGAAACTGTGCTCAAGGTAGATAAAGTCGAAGGTTAGTATTTGAAGTGGAAGAGAAATATAAAAAAAATCACTTGATGGGACCAGCAGGTGGCATGCTGGATCCCACATGGTTGACTGCATGATGCCAAGTCCTAGACAAAGCAGCTTGAAAAATACGCTGGACGGGTTGGGTGACCATGAGCCCTGAGGAACGAGATGGCGCTTCTCTGCAGGCTGAATGTCCTCTGCAATGCCCAGGGAGGCCAAGCTCTATTCCTGCGAACCTCAGTGATCAGACCAGCTCAGGTCTCTGCATTTCTCCAGGACCAGCCTACCCTAGGATGGTGTAGAGCACAGGGAGTCCAGCACATTCACCTGTCACCAAACCACCACCCTGGTTCCAAGGCTGCAACTCTCCACTGGACTAGTGAGAGGGTTGTCAGTGTTTTGCTCTTGGGCCGCTTCCAGCTACTTATCTGAATCCTTGCTCTGCGATGGACTACTCCCTGGCTGTAGCCCTCACTCTCCATAGTCACCAGGGCCTTGGACAAGTTGTTACTGACTATGTTCATGGGGATGCATCAGAGAAAGCTGCCAAAGCAGGCCTTTTGGCACTCTCAGCTTTAACCTTTGCCGGGCTTTGTTATTTCAACCATCATGATGACGTGGGCATCTGCAAAGCTGTTGCCACGCTGTGGAAGCTCTGACTTTTTTGATGTAATACCTCAAGAATTGATCGTGTGCCTCTTTGCCTTGCTCTGCCATACTATTCGGCTCAAAATAAGGAGGAAATAATAGATAAGTTGATTGGTGGACAGATCTCCTAATCATGTGGTTATTTTCAGAATTCAGTTATTGAAGAAAAGGTTTGAAAGGTATCCAGAAATTGTGAGACCAAGTTCTGTATTCTGGTGAGTTAATGGGGTTGTCTCCACACTTCTCCTAAGACTCACAGTGTAAGTAAACATTATATAAGAGCTTTTGCTATTTAATTTATCAATCTCTTGAAGAGAATTCAGCTTTATTATTATCAATACATGATCAAGTTCTACATTTGCCCTGGGAATAGTGGACAAAGGGAAAAACTATTACGTCATGAGTAAAGACTGTTAGAAATTAGATAAGTGTTCAATTTTTGAAAACTCCTTCTCCTCTGTTATACCAGCTATTGATGGTTACATGTCCTAGGGAAACTTTAAAATGAGGAAATACTAATACCCACATGAAGAACGTTTCCACGATAGGAAGAAAATCTTAAGAGAGCTTCTGAATATAAAGAAGTTCATTTAGGGAAGAAGTCCACCTTGTAGATGTGTCAAAATGTTACAAATTCTGAATCAAGATGTAATGTTTAAATACATTACATTTGTACTAAAATTATCTGCCCACAAATATAAAATTATAAGAAATAAATTGTTATTTTCCCACTATGGAAATTTCTAATGTGAAAGTGTATTCTAGAAAAGAAAATTTTTTAAAAAGATAAAATATTGTATAATTTAAAAAAAAAAAAAAAACGAAAAATACACTGGATGCATGTACATGTGTGCACAAAATCCAGAGAGTAGAATGGAGTAAAAGGGACTATGGCATGGCCATCCCCACCAGGAGAGGTGCTTTCTCGCTTTCCCTTTCCCTCCCTCTCTCTTTCTGTCTCCAGCAAGTGCATGCTCCCTATAGAAAAAAAAAAAAAAGTCACTTTGTCTATAGGGGAAAATCTGTAATAAAGTTTTAAAAGATCAACAATGCAACCAACAAGGAAAAACTGAGAACTCCCAAGTGCCATCTTGGGTTCCTGTTTCTGTGGTATGAGAAGCTGACAGGATACCCTGTGCTCAGTATCGCCTTCTATCTGGGTGCACAGAGTATAATTATCTGCACATAAACACCAATGGGAGTGGGTAAAGTTTAGGGACGCAGAGTAGCAAAGTACATTTTTTTGTGAGAAAGTACTGCTTGAAAGGAAAACAAAGTGTTCTATTTCTAAATAATGAAGCTCCTCTTAAGACTGCTAAGCTAGTAAAACCAAATATAGCCCATGCCAACCATAACTGAACACCAGCCAGGGAACACTTGAGTAACAAGTAAGAGTGAAACATAAACATCCCAGTGAGGATGGCTAATTGTATCATTAATCCATAGAGAAAGTGAAAAAGTGACATTGCTCAAAATGACTTGCCCAAACCCAAGAACTATAAAGGGAGTGGGTCAAAGAGGGGTTGAAGTCACACTCTATACAAGTAACAAGGCTGCTTTTCAAAGTGCTACAAATGAAAGTCTCTTTCATTACTATAATACAAAATGTCGCTGCTTTCTCCAAAATCCATCCCCCAAACTGAGAGATTATAGACTATGCAGTCTTCTTCAATATATGTGCGGAATTGATACTAGTAACCCCCTAAGGATACCAAAACCCTCGAATGCTTGCCCTTATATAAAATACTGCAGTATTTGCATCTTTAGCCTACAAACAACTCCCCATATAGTATAAATCAGAGATCCCCAACTCCCCAGCACCAGAGTCTGGCCTCAAGAAAAAAAATCCCCCTACAGACTGAGAGAGGGGACAAGGGGGCAGAGCTGGTCCTGAGATGACTCAAGCCCACCACATCCACCATGCACCCTATTTCCACTACCACCACATTCCAATTTACAGTGAAACAACCACACAATAGGGTTTGCACTCCCGTAAGAATCCCTATCTCCTGATCACACAGGAGGCAGAACCCGGGAAGTAATGTGATTGACAGGGGGTTGGGGGGGGGTAACTGCAAACAAAGCCTTCCTCACTGACCCACCCCAACTCCCCACTGTGCAATCCTTGGAGCAGCAAGGGGCAACAGGCTACAGACAGCTATCTGTCTGTAGCTCACTGGTTGGGAAGTCCTACTTTAAATCATTTCTAGGTAACCTGTAATACTTAATACAATGTAAATGTTATATAAATAGTTGTTATATTTTGTTATTTGTGATTTTTTTTTCAGTATTCTCTATGGCTTTTTGATTCTGAGGATGCAGAGTCCATAGTGAACAGAAGGCCAACTATAATCTACTATTCCCAATTCATGTACAGAGCCATGCGAGCAGAAGAACCGTAGATGGAACTTGTTAAATATGCACCTGGGCATCAACCCTAAGAATCAGATTCTACTGGTCTCAGGCAAGGCCTGGGAATGTTCATTTTCAAGATGTTTCCCTGCCAGATATGGAACTAATGACAACCGAAGCAATGCTCTGAACTACAGAAATAAGCATCATGTGTTTTGAGGCCAGCAACTAGGGTAAATTGGCATCAGTTCATTAGTATCTAATTGACACTTTCAGATTGCTTTAATGGAGTAAAATAGGCAAAACTGCACCAAGAGGTACACTGAATAAATGGAGTACCAGGGTAGATAGCAGTAGCAGCTAACAGAATCTATGATACTGAGAACACAAATCTAGATGCCCACCTCTTCCAGAATATTTGGCCTACTATCACTAACCCCTATCACCACCCCAATCGATGCTAAATCACATTCCTTCCTGTTTCCAAGACATTTGTAATCTTATAACACAGTTTATAGCACTGAATCAACACTAAATTAGGATCATCTACTTACGTTCCTATATCCCTCAACAAAACATAAGCTCCTCAAGGGCAGTTTTCTTTTCATCACAGTATCCCTCATGTCTAGTACATAATAGGGACTGTAACACTTGTTAAATAGATGAAGAAATAAGTGAGTATCTATGTTCTTTCATACTTAGCTTAATCGCACTGGTTTCAAATTAATAAGATTCTTACAACAGAGTTATTCAGATGTAAAACACTCACTTGTCCAAATTTCTTTCCACCTGCAATTTCAGCCTACAAGGCTCAGTTAAGAGGCTTCCTCCTGTCTGTCGCACAAAATAGGAGGGAAAGATCAGATCTCCGTTATTGTCCTCTGAGGCCTTAGAGTACTCTCGTGGATGTCTCTCTGCAGCAAAGATGTCCATGTCCTGTAGATCCACAATAATGCAATCCAGCAGACAAACATGGTCTTCTACAAGGACCCAAGGAAAAAGACATAAATGAATAAAATGGGGCCTAAAGAGGACTGGTCCGAAATGAAATTAAAAAGTCATAGAAAATACATTCTCTCTTTAATAAATGTTTAGAATTGCTTGCTTTTCTCTGCTTTCCATTAATCAGAAAACTGGCTATCCAGATGTCTCCACTCTGGACCATGACCTCATATGCCATGCTCCAATACAACCATAACACCCAGCCCTCCAGTTCTCGTGCCTATCTTTTCTTTTGAAGAGTTGTTGTTGTTGTTGTTGTTTTGCTTTTTGTTTGTTTGTTTGTTTTGCTATAGGGTGCATGTACTTGCCAGAAAGACAGAGAGAGACAGAGAGACAGAAAGCGAGACATCACCCCCCAGGGGGATGGCCACACCACAATCCCTTCTCCTCCATTCTCCTCTCAGGATCTTGGGCACACACGCACACATGCCCAGCGTGAGTTTAAGCCACTGGGTCTGGGACTCAAACAGCAGTCGACTACATGAGAGTCCAGCGACATAACCATTACGCCAACTGCTGGTCCCTCTTATGCCTATCTTGAGACACTAACTGGGGCTAGAGGATTTATGACAAAAAATGATTTTGTATACCATTCATCCCTAGAGACAATGCATAGGTTTACAAACTTTCCAGCAGCAAAATTATTTTTTCAAATAAATACTACATGTAACGATGCCATTATTATTGATCAAATGTAAACTAGCTTCAATCTTAATCTCTCCTCTAATACACCTACAAAGTTTTGCTCTGACCCTCACAAAACCATTCTCTCCACAAAATATCTGAACAATCCTTAAAAAATAAACAGAACATAATATTCCCTTCCTTTATATACTTTGATAACTATTTTAATCCAAAATTCTTTCTGTTAAACTCTCCCACATCCCTAAAAGGCCCTGCATAAGCTTGCTGCCTACTTTTCCAACCTCAGCTTAAGCCACTACCCACCTCACTCACTAAGACTCGAGAAGACTGGTCTTTGTTACTGGCCCCCAAATTCTAAGCTCCTTGCTGCCTGGACAGCCTTACTAGTGGCGTGACCCTCCCTTCTAAATCTAAACTTGGTTCTTTCTGTTCACTTGTCTTTCTCATGAGAATACTTACTATTATCTATCAGTTTATATGTTTATTTAATGTCTTTCTCCTAAGTCTACAAGTACTAACATTGTAGGAACCATGTCTAACGACATGTTAATTCACTAGGAACAAAATACTCTAATACTCAACCTTAAGCAGACATTAAATAAATTACTTCTTGACTGGTTTATCACACTGATAAATACATGAAACTGATAAAAGTAGATCTGATCTGGCAGAAATGGATAAAGAAATTAAGTAAGCTTCAGAGATTCCCCAGCATACAATCATGGAATTTGAGGGAAACGGAAACAGTATAAAACAACTACTTTAATCCAGGGTAATGTGTCATGGACAGGGGAATTTTAGAAACAGCAAATCAATAAGAGAAATATTGCTAAGAAAGAGAGCTTTCTCCTATAAAACATCCCAGATCACTTCTTTTTTATTTATTTATTTATTTTTTAAAGTTTGCTAAAGGGCAAGTGTGTTCTCCAGAGAGAGAGAGGGAGAGGAAAAGTGAGAAAGCACCCTATAGGGGACAGCAAAGCCACAATCCCTTCTCCTCCATTCTCCTTTTGGGACTTTGGGTACACACGTACATACACACACACACACACACACACACACACGTCTAGAATGTTTCTTGAACTTCCAGGTTCAGAACTCAAACTGCACAGTTGGCCAAAGGGGAATCAAGCTACCTTAAACACCAGGCCACTGGCTGGCTCCCCAAATCACTTCTTACAGGTGTCCACCTGTGTTAGGCTGGCCTCATTCCTGATCATCACTGTTGTTATAACAGATAAGACAGATTAAGTGGACCAGGAGTGCAACTTTCTCCCTCTTCTACATATGTCATGTATACCGGTCTGTAGGGAGTATCATGTAGGTTACAAATTAGGATCCGGAGTCACACTGCTGGAATACATAATCCAACCCTACCATTTACTATCTGTTTAACTCTGGGCAAGTCAAGTTACATAATCTCTTAAGTCTTTGTCTCTTTATCTGTTAAATTAGGATAAAAATAAAAGCTGGCTGTGAAAATGCAATTAATATAGGGGCTGGTCCCATACTCTAGTGGTTAAGTGAGCCAGATCTCACATGGCTGACCACGGCTCAAATCCCAGCCCTGGCAGCCTGAAAAACACACCAGATACATGTGTGTACATGCCCCAAACCTGGACAAGACAGAAAATAAAGGGATTACAGTGTGACTATGCCCCATTAGGGGGTCCTTCCTTCCTCATTCTCTGACTCCGTATCTCTCTCTGATGAGCACACATACCCCGGGGCAATTAAGACAAACACAAACAGAAATAATAGAATTACTGCACTACAATGTCTGGCTCACAGTAAATGTTCAACAACAACTGTTACGATGATGATGATTAAGATAATCTCACTTAATCATCATTATAACCATAAGCTACTCTTCTACTTCTAAAACTGTAAGGTACTACAGGGAATACCTACTCCTCAGATCTACCTGACAGAGGACATTCAGCAGCCCCCTCAGCAAGTTTCCTACATCTCTGGAAGTACAATTGTACTGGACTGATCTTGGGGGCTGATCCTATTCTGTCTCCCTCTCTAGCTCCCGACAGTAGTGAATCACTTACCTAATACAGCACCCAGCCAGACAGCAGTTTAGATCTGTTCTAGCTACACTATCACCATCTGGTGGCAACTATTTTGACCTATAGGAAACAGACTAATACACTACCTAAAAGCTCTGTTTACATGGTATCATGCTAATTTAATCCTTTAGAAGTTAGAAGTCACCCAATGCTAAATTTACCCCTGAGACTCCTAAGCCTTCTAAAGCAATACTAAAACCCAATCATCACTAAATAAATGCTAATTCTTTCCAGGCATCTGCTTACACAGGATGCATTCCACCCCAGTTTCCTAAAGGGCCTCATTAAGATCCCCACCTTCATTGTGCAGCTCTTCCTCCACTTTTACCTGGACTACTGGAAACCTGGCAGACAGACTGTATGGTTTGAGGTCCTCGTTGTTTGGTGGAGGTACTGGGCACAGAGTCACCCTTCAGGCCGCTGAGACTGGGTCCAGCAGGTGTCATGAACAACCCCTGGGAATGGGTCCCCTTGGGGTCGTCTGTGCTTGTCATTTTCCTCATGGTGTGTTTGGGAGTACCCGTTGGAGAAGTTGAAGGCACAGATTCCTGAGAAGAAACAAAATAAAAGTAGAATGCAGGAAGGGGGGTTGAGGAGTGGTGGTGTTGGTTTGATTATATCAATACTATCCCAAAATGTTATCGCAGTCCCCGGGATCTTTAAAGACTATAATACTCGCACTTCCCTCAGATTCCACAGACGACAGGGCAACAGGGCCATGAGATTTACTGCCACAAATAATTATCTAGAGAGGTGTTACATAACAATTCAGCACCTGTTTAAAACTACAGCAATTTTGCATGAAGATACCATCTTTTGGCTCAGGAGAAAATGCCGAGATGCCAATTATTTCAGACGGTTTAATCTTAAGTGAAAAGCCAATCTCTCAGCCACACCATATATTGTTGCTTTGAGCTGAGACAGAGATTGGGGGGGGGGGGGGGGTTTT